GCGAAAAATCAAACCTGTTCTGCACATTAACATTAGAACTAGTTAGTGTTCTGCTTTAAGTTTTGGCAAAGATCAACTCTAAGTGAGAGTAGGTACTGTAGAACTTTGCTGGTTCAGGTGGGTAACTTTAAGGCACATGGTTTTCCTGATGTGCTAGCTTGATTGAAGATTGTTTGCATCTCATTCTTGAAACTTCTGCTTCCAGCAAGTTGAGGTACAGACCTACTCAGCATACTACAAGGTAGCAGTACATCCAAAAGCTGTTCATCAAAGCATTTAGTGTATGTTTGTTCAAATTCCATCCAAAAGCGCCACCACCCATCTCAAATACCCCACCCCCTCAAACCACCCTTTCAGAATCACAGAAATGTTACAGCCCAGAAGAAGGCTGAAATAACTCCACAGAGGCTGGTATCCTGTCACCAAGTCACCCTTTATTTACTCATGGTAAGTCCTTGACACTGATCCAGCTTCTTCAGAGCTCGCTCTTTGAGTGAACAGGATGTCTGACACTCCTGTTTATATCTGTCAGTCAGAGCTCCCTGATTGGGCTGTTAGTCTGGTCCAATCAGGGAACTCCTATTCTATGAGGTCCACCTGGCTGGTCTCATTGCAGTCACTACAGAGGGCATTCTGTCTATTGTGTCTGAACTGACTCTTCAAATGAGTATAATTACCTACTGCCAATCTCCTACTGTTTCCTCACATCCCTGCACATTATTTCTTTCCAAATGATCATCTAGTGCCCTTGTGAATGCTTCAGTTGAACCTCCCTTTACCAGAACTCCAGGCAATGCATTCCACACCCTAACTACTCACTGTGTAAAAATGTTTTTTTGTCTCACCTCTCATTTGCTTCATTTGCAAATCATTTTAAATCTGCGCCCCTCTGGTTCTTGTTCTTTTTATGAAATGAAACAATTTCTCCTATCTACCCTATCAGCATTTGTCCCTGTTTTGAAAACCCCAGTCAGATTTCCTCTTAGCCTTCTTCTCTCCAAGGGAGAACAGTCCCAACTGCTCTAATCTATCTTAATAAATATTTTTCATCCCTGAAGCCACTGTTGTAAATCACTGTGCATCCTCTCTGATGCATTCATGTCTTTCCTATAACGTAGTGCCCAGAATTATGCATAATATTCCTGCTGTGGTCTAACAATTGTCTAAGCATGTTAGATTTACTACTCGCTCTTATACTCTTATATATGTTCCTATTAATAAAGCCTAAGACCAAAAGCGTTACCTCACATTGATTGCATGTACCACCTATCAGTCCCCTTCACCAACTTGCCTGTGTCCCTTTAGAGTTCAGCAGTATTATCCTGAATTTACAATTTTTCCAAGTTTCTTATCATGAGCAAACTTTGAAAGTGTCCCCTGCACATCAAGATCTAGATCGTATACATAGGAAAAAGCAAGGACCCCATTGTCAACCCTTGGAGAGTTCCACAACAAAGCAATCTCCAGCCTAAAAAAAATTCATTGATCACTTTTCTTTCTACTCTCTGTTTCCAATCGCTCACCCAATTTTGTATTCATTTTGCTACTGACTCTTTTATTCAATGATGTATAACTTCCTACACAATCCTATTGTGTGACACTGTATCAAACGTCTTTTCGAAGTCTATGCACATTACCGCATTGAGCCTTCTGTTACTAAATTCCAGAAATTTAGTTAAACTTGATTTCCCCTTTAGAAATCCATGATGATTCTTCCTAACCAACCTACCTTTTTCCTTGTAACTACTAATTCTATCCTGAATCATTCTTTCTAGAAGCTTCATCACCATCAAGATTAAACTGACTGCATTGCAATTGCTGAACTTATCTTTATAATTTTTTCTTCAACAAGACAATGTTTGCAATGAAAATGAGTACAAAAGCAGTTAATTGTCATGCATTGTCAGGAGAGGCAGTGATGTGTCTTCAGTGAGTGAACACAGAGGGCAGGAAGGGTTAGTAGTTTGGGAGGATGAGGAAAGTGAGAGCCCTTGCATGGACATGATGCATGCAGTATTGATAGTTGTAGTCTATCTACCTTGGTGACATTTTTGTGTAGTGGCAGACTTAGAGAGAGAATGCTGACCCTTAGTGTGTGACTAGCAGAATGGAAGGTCTCCACATTAAGACTTGTGGATTATGGAGGATCACTGACCTCCTTGCTGCCTGGTCCTTTTTACTTGGGACACAGCACTGACCCACTTTGCAATTTGTGTACAGGCTAGGTCAGTCTCTTGGCATGGTCTCTTTTTGCAGTCAGCAAGGAACAGAACTACGCTTGTCTCCAACACTCGGTCCACCAAGCTACTCCAGATCACTGCCCTGGAAGTGAGGAACTAGTGTGTCTTTTCTCTGACGCATACACAGGGTTGGATCAGATTAGCTTGAGAGAGGTTATTCCTGGTTTGCAGCATCTGAAGCAGTGTGAAGTTTAACTTTAAATATGGTGCTGGATTGTGAAGGCTGGATATTCTTGCCAGTAGTGAGCATTGTGATTCTTTGAGAGCCATGCCCAAAGACCAGTTGCATTATTAGTGAGGTGAAAATTGGAAGATTGTGTGAGAAAATTGCCCCAGGCCATTGCAGACCAGATGCCATGAAACTCTCACTTTATCCCACTTGAAATAAAAACCTGAAATTTCAATCTATGGATTTTATTGTGGTGAATAGTGAAGGCCATGTAGACACGACTCATGACAAAGGCATTCTCAGAATTGTACACAATGTTCCTGACCATGGAAAGTCTTCCTCACTAATATCTGGGGACTTCTGACTAAATTTGGAGAAGTGTCCCACAGCCTTACCTTTCCTGTAATTTCTCCAGCTGCTGCTTAGACATCTAAGGTAAATGCACAGTAGATCCTGCAGAAACTGGAACTGAATACATTTGCAGGGCATCGGGATGCCAGTTGGTGTGCATGGACTTTTGGAGCATCTGCGCACCTTAGAGGGAATATTGTCATGAGCTAGTCAAGCAACAGAGTGACAAAGTCATATTCACACAACCCTCCAGCAACATCTCTAATTATGTCCCATTCCAATGATAGGACAACCCCACCAAAGGTTGTACAGCTGTATACAGTATGTAGTGGTCATGTGGTCCTCAACATTGACTTTGGACTCCAGGAAGTCTCATGACATCGGATCAAATGTGAGCAATTAACCCTCCTACGGTTTACCACCTTCTGCCCTCCTTGACTGATGAATCAGTATTCCTCCATAATGAGCGCCATGTTCGAAGAAGTGTGGAGGGCAGAAAGGATATGCTGTGGGTTTGGAACTCCAAACTCCGACAACAGGAGTTTTTGAGTTGTCATTACTGACTGTGCTGACCAAGTCTGGATGGACATAGTTGTCAGTCAGGATTATTTTTGCAGTCTCCATCTACAGCAGAACAAATATGTGGAAAAAGCTACTTGATCTTGTATTCACAAATCTACCTCTCATTAAAGCATCTGCCCTTGACAGTGCTAGTAGATCATCACACAGTCCTTATGGAAAGAAAGTTCTATCTTTACACTGCAGACATCCCCCATCATGCTGTGTGCCTCTATCACACAAAATCAGGTAGCTTCGTAACAGAACTGGCAATTCAAGGCTGAGTATCCAGAGATGTTGTGGGCCATAAGCAGCTGTATAATTTTATTCCATCACAATCTCTAATCTCATGGCCCACCAAATTCCTCACTATACCATTGCAATCACACCAGGAGATCAGCCCTGTTCATTGAGGAGAGTAAAAGATCATGTCAGGAGCAGTGAATTGTACCTAAAAATGAGGTGACAACCTAGTAAAGTTATAATAAACATGCATGTTAAACAATGGAAGCAACAGATTGCAGACAAAGCTAAGAAAATGGATCAGACCAAAGCACTGCAGTTGAGAATGCTGTTGAACAATTAAATGATTAAAGAAGAGAACGATTTATGAGTATTCCCATGCTCAATGATAACAGACCTCAGCATGGCCTAATGGTATCTTCGCTGGAATGTTAATCCAGAGACCCATGTAATGTTCTGGGGATCCAGCTTCAAATCCTGTCATGGCAGACGGTGGAATTTAAATTCAATAGAAAATAAATCTCTAGTATTAAGAATCTAATGATGAACATGAAACTGTTGTCAATTGTTGGAAAAACCCATCTGGTTCATTGATGTCCTTTAGGAAATAAAATCTGCCTTCCTTACCTGGTCTGGCCTCCAAGTGACTCCAGATCTGCAGCAATGTGGTTGACTCTCAACTGCCCTCTGGGCAATTAGGATGGGCAACAAATACTGCTCTAGTCAACGACGCCCTCATCCCATGAATGAATTAAAAAAAAAACCTGACTGCAAAACATAAGAGGGAAGTATTTGCAACCACCTTCGGCTAGAAATGCCCATCATCACTGGCACAAATCTTTGGGCATTGGGGTTCACTCCATTTGACATAAGAAAATGCCAGAGTACATTGGAGCTAACAAAGGCAATGGTCCTGACAACTTTGCAGGTGTACTGCTAAAATGCTCCAAATTAACCACACCCAAGCCAAACTATTCCACAGATACAATACTGGCACCTACCTAAAATAGGCTGCAGAATTTCCAAATCTGCAACTTCTACTAACTCACAAGATGAGGGCAACAATGCAACATAGCATGACATCCAAGTTTCCCTTAAAGTCACACATCATCCTTACTTGACCATTACCGTTCCTTCACTGCTGCTACACTGATATCCTGGAACTCTGTTCCTTATAGCACTGTAGATGTAGCTACACTATTTAGAATGCAGTTGTTGAAGAAGGTGGGTCATTACCACCATCTTGTGAGTAATTAGGAATGGGCAATAAATGTTATATGCTGGCAAAGTTCATATCCCATGAATGAATAAAGCATACAATAGTAGCATGATTATTTTAAATAAGAAATAATTTTGCTCTCCTATTTAGGCAATGCTAATATGAGTTATCATCCCAGTCTTGTAAGTTGACTTCAGTTCATCGCACTTATTTTCCACAGACAGGCGAATGAGGAGTACCAAGTGCTGGCAAACTCATGGCGGTATTCATCTGGATTTTCTAATAAGTTGTTCTTCACTGTGGTGGACTATGATGAAGGAGCAGATGTATTTCAGCAGGTATGGATTTTGTTGTGCTTTGTCACTATCAACCAGTGATTCATGGTGGCTTTTGTTCAAAAGATTATTTTAAATCCAGAAGAGGTAAGAGTGTGGATATATTCAAAAACAGATTACTTTGATTATTGAAAAGATAATATATACAATTGAAAACCAAGTGGAGAAATTTGGCCCCTAGCTAACTGTTTCAAGCCTGAGAGATAGGCAATGATTAATTAAATATCAGAAACTGGGCTTGTCGAAATTCAGGCTGGTATGTAAATACATGAGATGCCTGTCACCTCAAAGAGGTGAAAGGTTGTTTCAATACAGAAACCTGGGTCCTCCAAAAATTGTTGGAAACCCTGTAAAACAATTCATGTGCAAATGGAAAAAGTTTACACTGAGCCAGCTCTTTCTGGCTCTATTTTCCAAGTTCTGAGCAACATAAATGTCAGGTTTTCTCCTAAATCAGCTGCCTTGTGCTATTTATGTCCTGTATCTCATGGTCAGTAGTGAATCAGGACAGTCATCTCTTAGTTTGAAGAAAGCTGCTCGTAAAAGTTTTCGCAGTCCTTCCCTTTCAGCTTAAAATTTCAAATAGCAAAATATATAATTATTACTGACTAAATATAAACTAAACTAAAAGTAAACAATCTTGTTTTTTAAGTAACAGGTATAGCTTATATTATTTTTCAAAATGTGTAAAATTACTTGATGACTCTAGTGAAAGTTGACAATCCACAAATATAAAACTAGGTTTTTAGGTAAAGTGAGGATGTTTTAACCAGCAAGCTTGAAGATAGTGTGCCGTTGTAGTTTAAGCAGCTGCCTTGCTTCTGAGTCAGGGATTTGTGTGTTCAAGTCCGGTTTCAGACATGATGACAAGCAATAAGCTGATATTTTTGCGCAGTAATATGGGACTGCTGCAGTTTTCATATTAAGATGTTGGTAGCCTCATCTGCCCTTTCAATTGAACACAAAAGATCTCAGGACACTATTTTGAAAGTAAGAAGAGGCGATCTTCTGAGTGATTCAATATTCATACCTTACCCAACATCACAATATCATTGTTTGTGGGAACTTGCTGCACACAAACATGCTCCCAACATTTCTACTTTACAATTACTACATTTTAAAAGTACTTAATTAGCTGTAAAATCATAGATCATAGAATCCCTACAGTATGGAAACAGGCCCTTCGCCCCAACAAGCCCACACCAGCCGTCAGAGCATCCCACCCAGACTCATCCCCCTATAAATCACCCAATCTACACATCCCTGAACACTACAGACAATTTAGCATGGCCAATTCACCTAACCTGCACATCTTTGGACTGTGGGAGGAAACCGGATCACCCAGAGGAAACCCATGCAGGGAGAATGTGCAAACTCCACACAAGGGTGAAATTGAACCTGGGTCCCTGGCGCTGTGAGGCAGCAGTGCTAACCACTGAGTGACCATGCTGCCCATGTTTCAAAAATATTTTGAAATGGTCTGTCATCTCAAGTATGTATGTGCCATATAAATGCAAGTCTTTGTTTTCTTTCAGTTACGCCTTGTTCAATAGAGTGTAACTTTTACAAGTGGTTTATAACAGTGAAGTCTTATGGTTTATGGTAGTTGGTGACTTTGTGGGAAGGCCAAGCTGTTGTGCCTAACCGTGGTGTAAGGGTTGATAGGGTGGGCCTGATGGATTCAGCAGATAGGTGTTAAGGCACTCATTTTCCTGGATTCTGATCCACAGCCTTGCCGTAGATGTAGTTGCCAGGTTTCCCAAGGATCAGGAAACCTGCTCAACGATGATAAAGCTAAAAAGCTAAATACCATGAGGCTGTATGTTTTAAAAAAAATACATTTTAGATTTGAACATTACACCTCATAATTTCCTGTTTCAAATCCGATTGCTCTTGTCCCCTTATCATCGTTTTTGCTCCCACAGAGAACAAAGAGGTATTAACTTGAACTTGTCCTTAGCCAAAATTTTAAGTAGAACTTTTAACTATCTTGCCTACACCACTCCCAAGATTATCTTCTTAATAGATGACTAAAATAATGTCCATGAGAATAAACTTGACATCATTAAGGAAATTAAAACTATCTGATAAAGATGACTAATTATAGTTTAATAAAATAAAAATGTAAGAAATAAGAGTAGTGGTGGACCATATGGCTTGTCAGCCTGCTATGCTATTCAATTACAATCTACTTTCCCTTGTCTCTTGCTACCTGAGATTCTAACAAATTCTAACAAATAAAAAAATTCTAAGGGATCTACTATCTATGGTTAACTGAAAAGTTTGAAGATAATCAGACATAAAGAAAAGATGCACACTACTGCCATCATAGATGTCAGGTCAGAAGACTGGACAGAATATTAAAAAACACAGATTTACTAGCAGATTGATAAGGAGGGAAGAATTTGAGTATGAGAGAAAGTTAGGCAAAAATATAAAAACAGATAGGGAAAATTTGTTCAGATGTTTAAAAATAAATTAACAAGGTAAATGGTGGTTCTGTAAAAGATGATTCTGAAAAAGTAGTAATGAAAGATAAAGAGATGGCAGATGAGTTGAACAGATACTTTGCGTCAGTTTTCACTAGAGAGGATGCAAGTAATATCCTGGAAATAGCAATAGACCAGGAATTGAAAAGAAGAGAGGAACTCAAGAAAGTTGTAATAACCATGGAAATAATGCTGATTAAACTGTTCAAACTGCGAGTTGATAAGTCCCTGGGTCCTGATTCATTTTGTCTTAGGGTCTTAAAAGAAGTAGCCAGTGAAATAGTTGACGTGTATCCACAGTTCTTTGTTTTAATTTGAACTAGTTGATGTGTTGGTTTTAATTTTTGGGAAATCAGATTCAAGGAAGCTTCCTTTAGATTGGAATATAGCTGATGTAACTCCTTTATTCAAAAAGGGAGGAGGCAGAAAGCAGGAAACTACCCAGGCCGATTAGCTTAAAATCTGTCATAGAGAAAATGTTAGGAGCTATTATTAAATATGCTATTACTGGGCACTTGGATAAGTTCAGGTCATCAGGGAGAACGAACATGGTTTTTCAAAGGGAAATCATGTTTAACCAACTTACTAGAATTCTTTGAAGAAGTAACTTGTGCTGTGGGTAAAGGAGAACCATTGGATGTATTGTACATATATTTTGAGAAGGTATTTGATAAGGTGCCACATCAAGAGTCATTGTGGAATATACAAGGTCATGGTGTAGGCGGTAACATATTGGCAAGGACAGAAGATTGGCTTGCTAACAGGAAGCAGAGATTAGGAATAAATGGGTCTTTTTCAGGCTGGCAGGATGTCACAACATGTATGCCACAGGGGTTGGTGGTTGGGTCTCAAATTCTTTCCAATTTATATAAAGGATTTGGATGAAGTGATGAAAGATATGGCAGCTAAATTTGATGATGACAATAAGATAGATAGTAAAGTGAGTGGTGATGAGGACGTAAGGAGCCTATAAAGGGATCTAGGTAGATTAAATGAGTAGGCAAAGATCTGGCAAATGGAGAACAGTGTGAGAAAATGTGAACATGTCCATTTTTGCAGAAAGAATAATAAAAAAAACAAATTATCTAAAATGTAAGATATTGCAGAGCTCTGAGATGATGTGACTTCACTTGATGAAAGAGCAGCAGTCTGAAAGCTTGTGATTTCAAATAAATCTGTTGGACTATAACCTGGTGTCGTGTGACTTCTGACGTTGTCCATCCCAGTCCAACACTGGTACCTCCACATCATGGTTACTATTCATTTATGATCGTGGATGATTATCCAACTCAGTAGCCTATCCCCACCTTCCCCCTCACTGTTTGATCTCTTTAGCCCCAAGTGCTAGAAGCAACTCCTTAACGAAATTATATAATATTTAGGCCTCAGTTGCTTTTTGTGGTACCAAATTCCACAGCTCACCACTGTGTGGGTGAAGAAATTACTCCTTATCCCAGTCTTAAATGGTTCATCTTGAATTGTCATACAATGACCCTGGTTCTTCGCCCCCCCGATCATTGGGGACATCCTTCCTATAGATACCCTGTCTAGTCCAGTTTGAATTTTAAAGGTTTCAATGAGATGCCCCCCCCTCATTCTTCTGAACTCCAGTGACTATAATATTACCAACTATAAACTCTCCTTGTATGTCCTGTCATCCCAGAAATCAATTTGGCTAACTTTTGCTGCACTCCCTGTTTTACTAGAATATCCTTCCTTGGATAAGGAGTCCAAAACTGCACACAGTATTCCAAGTGTGGTTTCACTAAGGCCCTGTTTATTTCAGAAAGACATTGCTGCCATTGTACTCAAATCCTCTTGCTATGAAGGCCAACAAACCATTTGTCTTCTTGACTGCTTGGTTAGTTATCCACAAATCTTCATCAGGTAAATCTCAGTCTAACTCTTAAGTAACTATCGAACTTTATAAAACTGACACCCACCACTATCTACATAACTAATGGTCCTGGAGCCATTTTCACAAATCTTTTCTGCGTGGTTTCTATTCCCTTAACATATTTCTCAAAGAATTGGATGCAGTATGCCAGTTGAGGCTGAGTTAGTGTTTTATACAAGTTTAACATAGCCATCTTGCTCTTGTACTGTTTGTCCTTACTAACAAAGCCTAGGATACCATATGTATCATTCGCTACTGTTATAACCTGTCCTTTGGCATTGAATGATTTGTGTATATATATGCCATTTCAAATTGCACCCTTTTCTTTTACATTGTCTCTCCACTTTTTTCCGACTGAAATGTATCATCTCACATTCTTCTACATTGAACTTCAACTGCAATTTGTCTGTCCACTCCATCAGCTTGTTCGAATCCTTTTTAAATTTTACACTGCCCTCCTTCATTTCAAAGTGCTTTCAAATTTCAAAATTTTGTATTATCTGCAACACCTCTACAAAGGTGTGTCCTTACTCATGAATTCTATTATTTCCATGATGACTGATGTCAGACTAACTAGCTTGTAGATCCCTATGTTCCCCTTACTTGAAAATCCATTG